ATCTCATTATACTGAAGTGTATGTTTTAATACACAGAGCTAGACTTACTTTACCATCTCATTCTACTGAAGTGTATGTTTTAATGTACAGAGCTAGACTTACTTTACCATCTCATTCTACTGAAGTGTATGTTTTAATACACAGAGCTAGACTTACTTTACCATCTCATTCTACTGAAGTGTATGTTTTAATACACAGAGCTAGACTTACTTTACCATCTCATTCTACTGAAGTGTATGTTTTAATACACAGAGCTAGACTTACTTTACCATCTCATTCTACTGAAGTGTATGTTTTAATACACAGAGCTAGACTTAACTTTATCATCTCATATTCTAATACTGTCTTATAATAGACTTAGAATAATGTATCACAACAATGGTATATCATCGGTATATCTATAATGTATGTACTACATATTCTATTATTGTTTTCTAATGGATTTAGAATAATGCATCACAACAATGGTATATCATCGGTATATCTATAATGTATGTACTACATATTCTATTACTGTCTTATAATGGATTTAGAATAATGCATCACAACAATGGTATATCAACTTGGTTTATAATTGTATCTAAGTATATATGTGTGAGACTCGTGGGCACTAAAAGCTTTTTTGCTTCTTTTGAACTTCCAGTGCACTTCAAATGACTTGATGAACTCTGTGATTCGGGCCTGTTTTATGCTACTCTTCAGAGACTTAATACGTCTGTTTGCTAGCTACAATGATGGGATTATTAACCTCTTGGGTAAGAACGTTTTTCATACTGGCTCGCACTCAACAGTGGGCACTTTTCCTTTTCTTATATCTGTCTCTGCACTGACAAATAATGTTTTGTAGGTTTTCTTGTTTATTTTCTGTTTTTAAATCGGAACTTTGGCACACTGCTGTTAAGCCTTAATTATAATTTGACATGCCATTTAGGACTCGTATTACTACAGATTCTACAGTAAAATGATTCGTAAATGTGTTGATCAGTATAAGATCATACTGTAAATGCTGGAACATTTGACACTGAGGAAAGTAAGATCAAATTAAGCACAGTGAAAGTGAAAAAATGTATTTAAAATGTGTATATAAAGTTATTACCTAAGTAATGTCAACATTGCTAATAACTTGGGTGTGGCATGGCCTGATGGTTAGGGCACTCGACTAACAGTTTGTGTGTTGAGGGTTCAACTCTCATTCTCCAAACATGCTTGACCTTTCAGCTGTGGGGCATTTGAACTCGACAGTCAATCCCACTTTTTGTTGGTAAAGAGTAGCCTAAGAGTAGGTGGTGGGTGTTGTTGACTGTCTGCCTTCCCTCTAGTCTATCACTTCAAAATTAGGGACAGCTGGCACAGATAGCCCTCGAATAAGAGTTATTTAACAACAAATAAAGTTATTAATAACTGTGATGAGAAATAACCATTAAAATTTAATTTAATAGAACATACTTATGATCATTGCATGTGAAAATATGGTTTTAAAATTAGTTGTTAACAGTATTAGTTGAAGTTAATGTTGTGAAGTTGTGAATGTTGAAGCTGTGAGAGATTGTCTCATGGTTACTGTGAAGTCAAATAAGACAAGCTCTGATCAATACAACAACAATGAAACAGACAATGTTTATTTTCCCGAGTGTCTGTTTAATAAACATACTAAGTTGTTTAAAGATATATTTCTAATAAGTTTCGTTATAATTTCATGATATCTACCCTCTAGTATTCATCATTTTTCAATCCATTCAAATGAAGTACAATGTAGATAACTATAAAATCATTTTTTGTCAACACAATTGAATTTTAAGTGTTATGCCTAATAATAATCTATGCTTTGTATTGGATTATATTCTGGAAAACTGTCAAAATACCCTTCTTTACATCACCTGTAAAGTTTTCAGGAAACTTGATCCAGGAGACATCATCCGTATGTGTGACTGACTACAGATTTAATACTAGACAAATGGAGCTTCTTCTGACCTTAGATGGCTGACTTGTCCAGACTACAGATTTAATACTAGATAAATAGAGCTTCTTCTGACCTCAGATGGCTGACTTGTCCAGACTACAGATTTAATACTAGAGAAATGGAGCTTCTTCTGACCTTAGATGGCTGACTTGTCCAGACTACAGATTTAATACTAGACAAATAGAGCTTCTTCTGACCTTAGGTGTCTCTAAAAGAATATTGTTCTCACATTTCAAAATAATAAATGGCATACTTTAAAGTTATTGTGATTCATATTTTAATATCTGTTTGTTAGATTGATCCTTTGACACCATATTATACGCTTTTATATTTAGAAATTCACATGTAGGTTGATAAAAAGAGAGGTTGGTTGTTAAGTAGATACATTTCAAAATTCAGTTTGAAATTTCTTAGCAGCACAGCATCATTATTGTGCTGTCTTAATTCACTTTAAATCTGTTTGGAAAAATCACTGATGTCTTTTTATTTTATTATCATAAAATGGGTTGTCAGTGTTATGTAGAATATAGAACAACTCCTAAAACACAGAAATATTGCAGCATCTTTTTTTCTTGGGGGGTACAAATTTCACACAGGGCAGATTGTCGTAGTCCCTTGTGTATTTTTATTGTCGTAGCCCCTCGTGCATTTTTATCTGTCATTGCACTTCATTTCCATCTTGTTCTTTGTGTACTAGAGAAATAATAATAATAAATAAATATTTTCCCTCAGAAAACTATTTCCAACTGAACAAGAAACACTGTCAAGAAAGCCTGGATGTGTATAAAAGGTTTCTTATTCATATGAACAAAGTAGCAGAATTCTTGAAAGTTGCAGAGGTTTGTTTTTGTTATTCTCAATAAAAAACTGTGCGTAGAATTCTTGTAGTTGTGCTAGCTGATATAAAAGATTTCTTCATTAAAAATTAAGAAACAAAACTTGATGATTTTCTATCCAAGTCATATTTGTCTATAATTAAATTATATTGATCTAATCCAAGTCGTACTTTTCTCTAATTAAATTGTATTGATAATCTAATGAGATGATAAATAAGATTTCTAAAAAGGGTTTTACTACTACTGTTTTATTTAACTGTCTAGTTGGAGCCATTTTTAGCACAGGGAATATTTAACCTATAAATATTTAGTTTCATTCATTTGATATGTTCATATATATGTGTAAAATGTTGTTTTTATTCTACTGTTTTCTGGAATAAAGTATATTACATACAATGAATAAAAACAAAAGCTAATAGCGAACGAGTTAGCATGAAGTGTGTTTAAAAATTTCGTGTTTGCAAGTCGTAATTGTAAATTTAGTTTGTCCCCCACCCCCCCAGTGAGTCAGCGGTAAGTTTGCCGATTTGCAATACTAAAATCCAGGGTTTGATTCTCTGTGGTGAACTAGTCAAATCTTTGCACATAAACAAACAAATGAATCAACTTGTATCTTTGTTTGGGTTGCTAATCTCCTGCCCACTCCATGAAAGTCCTGACAAAAACTCTGCAGTACCAGTATGAAAAAGTATTAGTAACTGACCAATAATTATACTTAGGTGATTGTATAGGCTACTAACCATGACAATGATTGATATTTGGTTGTCACAGTTTTGCTGTAAATACATGTTTTCTCTCTTGGTTATGTTTTTTTTTCTCTTCAGATTATGGCTATCAATTTTATTTAAATTTTACAAATATGATTTTCTGATGTAAGTAGTGTTTGGAAAAATTTTTTAAATAAATTGTCATTTGTTTAGATTTGTTAAATGTTAGCATTGAGCATTATGTACACACTGAAAATCATGTAGTATAAAAGATTAATTTGAAACTGTGGGATTTCATAGATGGTTTTCCTTTATTTCAGGACATTGGCATTGATAAAGGTGACATACCAGATCTAACAAGGGTAGGTTATCTTTTAGCTGAAGTCTGTTTTTTAGTTATGTTTGTTTGGTTACAGTTGAAATGTACCCTTCAGTCGTACCCGTTTTGGTCACAGTTGAAATGTACCCTTCAGTCGTACCCGTTTTGGTCACAGTTGAAATGTACCCTTCAGTCGTACCCGTTTTGGTCACAGTTGAAATGTACCCTTCAGTCGTACCCGTTTTGGTCACAGTTGAAATGTACCCTTCAGTCGTACCCGTTTGGTCTGTGTTTTTATTTTGAGATATGAAATACTAAAAAATGTACATTAAGTAGCAAGATATTTATTGTATATACTTAAAAAATTAAAAATATTAAATTGTTCATCTGAAAATAGATAAAATATTAGTTTAATATTTTGAGAAGCTCATCGTATATTTGAGTGCGTATCAATTTTATAATATCTGCTTTTATTGAGAGTGTACTCTGAATCGATCTAGCTACAGGACTACTATTACTTTTTTGTCAGGCTCCAAGCAGTCTTCTGGATTCTCTTGAACAGCACGTGATGTCTCTAGAAGGAAAAAAAACGAGTTCAACCACAATAGCAGGACCAACAGGGTATTGTAATTAAAACTGAATAGGAGAGTGTAAATTAAACAAGAAACATTATTTTTAAACTTTGAAAACCAATTAAAAACAAATCTATTTCAAACTTTGTATACTATCATGTTTCATTGGACAAGTAAAATGTAGCAATGTAGCCAAGACTTAAATCGAACATTGTATAATATTTTTTGACTTTCTCTCTGAGGTTATACCTCTAGAGAAATATACAAGTTTGGCAACCAGAGTAATAATGTTTATATTTTATTTGAAGATCATATATAGGCTCCATTCTTTTCAAATAAATATTCCCAGGATTAAATTCGATGACGAGAAACCCACTTTGAGACTAATAATGGTTGGAGATGGTTTGAATGGGTAATGATGATGACAAAACTTTGTTGAAACGTTGTACATTTGCTGTTATGTTAAACTTATATTAAAGTTTTTCTTCATTACCCATTCAAGCCGTCTCCAGCCATTATTATTCCCAGGATTAACTTTCAAACGTTATACTGTTTTATTTGAAGATTATATATAGGCTCCATTCTCTTCAGAGAAATATTCCCAGGATTAACTTTCAAATTATAAACATTTCTGTGTTTTCTGCACTAGTTCGTCAAAATTAACACCCTGACATTTCTTATTTTGTTCTTGGCAGTATTGTAGTGAAGAGGGAGAAGAAATCTTCTACTTAAATATGCTGTATTGCCCCTAATTAATGCCCCCTGGGGGCATTGCAAACTGCAAAGGTGGGGCACTAATTATAGTATTTGTGCAGTTCTGAATTATATTTCTCGCACGTGATTTGTTTATTTCGGTGCTAATAAGTGTGTGTTTGTTTGTTTTTCTTCATTTTTCTAAAATCAAAATTAAGGCAATAAAAGTGGATTACTATTGCTGTCATACAAAGTAAACTTTATAAAAAATACTCAAAGGGGAGGATAATTAGAGAGAGGGTATTAACTAGGGGCAATACAGTGTTTATTTCAGTTAACTTCAAAGCTTTACTCCTTTATGTTCTGGAACAGAGACTGATATTATGAAAGCTGCTTCATATTGATACTGTTAGAATATTATTACCATCACATAAAAACAGGTTTTTTTCACTGTATTTTAAAATCTTCTTTTTTCTGGTTTGTTTATCCTACGTGTTTTCTAGGTATCATGAATCCATGCACGTTGTTTAGGCTTGTAATATACTATACAAGGTGAATGAAAACACTACATCTGAAAGTATTTGGACCTCGTTATTTGTAAACAGAATGTTATTTTGGCCATGCTTTAAAAGGGACCTCAAAAAAGGAAATTACTTTTAAAAGTCTTTCCACTAGAAATAATTTTGAAAATAACTGGATAAATGCTTAGTTGCCTAAAAATTAATGTTCCGAAACAGAATTTACCTTAAAGTCTTTAAATGTAGAAACACTCTTTAAAAATATCTGGGTCAATGCTTAGTTGCCTTGAAATGTGTTTGCGTTCAGGAACCTTCTTTGTAACACTGATGTGCAAATGAAAACGCCAAGGTGATGAACTGCGTGGACAGTGACTAACTTTAGTAACTAAAGATGTATTCTGATGATTATTAAAAACTTCATTTTATGCATTAAGTCTCCTATTTATTATACTTTTGAAGAATTAGGTTTGTGATTTGAAAAGTTCTCAAAAAAAAAAGAACAATTGGATGTACAAATATACTGACTTCTGTATAATGGCTGGAGACGGCTTGAATGGGTAATGAAGAAAAACTTTAATATAACAGCAAATGTACAACGTTTCGACAAGGTTTTGTCATCATCAGGTACCAACTTCTGTATCCTTGACTTCTGTATCCTTCTAAATATCCTTCTGTACTTGATATTTGCTATAATTAGAATTTTGAACGTCAGTTTACCACTGTCGATACTTTTAATGTGTAAAAACTTTTTGTTAAATAAGTTATGTAATTCACCCGAAAGACTGTTGCTATTTAAGATTTAGAGTTTAATTACAAAAAATATATGTTTAGTTCCATTTTGTTGTTTCAGTGCTTTGCTCTTTGAATATGAATGACAAAAATTCCATGTGTAGAAATCAAAGTTTTTGTGACTGGTGAATGCTATTGCTGTCAACTGATTGGATAAAATTTTGTATTTCAGTAAAAGCTGGAAAGTATGAAGAGAATATGAAAATTAGTGACGTTGATTATAGAAACAGAAAGCGTTAACTTTTCAGAAGTGATGTTAAAGTAACATCTTGATAATCCAAGAGAAATTTAGACAGTGACCTAGCTTTAAGTACATTATGAAATGTTACCTCTAGAATAGTACATGTTAATGGATGTGTAAGTTCTCAAAAACTGCTGCTTTGGAGAGCAACCAAATCAAAAAGCTGAAATGGGTGTCAAACTTCAAGCAATGGGATGAGCAAAGCTGGAGGAGGGTGTATTTTACATATTAATTTAATTTTTTAATTATTTGATGAAAACCATTGATAGTTGTTTTGAGAGGAGATTCACCATGCAACATTTACAATGAAACATGCTGAAAAACCCGTATGTGTGTGGGTTGTATCTTAGCTAATGGTGTTGGAGATTGACACAAATTGATGGCAACTTAACTGCTGGCAGGCACATTAAGATTGTTATCCATCATGTCATTCCCTCAGAAACAAGATAGTGATCCTAAGAATACTTGAAATGTGGTGAAAGGAGACCAATGGAACCATTTAGTTGCAATTATTCATTATTTGTAACACCTGTACATGAATTTCTTGTGCATTTCAAATAATTTTTGTGTGTTGCTGTTAACTTGTTTTATTATTTCTTTCAACTTTTATGGTTATATAAAAATACAGAACTAGTTTTATAGTTTTAATAGTGTGAAAATAAGAAGAGCTTAAGTGAAATGAAAACTATAAATCTGGTTCTGCAAAGAGCAAGTAATTTTAAATAACTCTAAAAGTTGAAAGAATAAAACAAGTTTTTGTATGAAATATAAAATCCACAAAAAGTGAAATTTGAATTGCATAATATTAAATATTGGACATGTAATATAAAACAAGAGATTAATTTTAAAAAAAATAATTTTAGTCTTTTTTGGCACTAATATAAATATAAATAAGATGGCAGAATTTATGGTAGTTAGGGTTAGTAGGAATTGTGAAATGGTAAACATTGTTACTAGGAATTACAAAAAGTAAGTAAGGTATATTTTGTAATAAATTATTAAGATTATGTAGAGAAAAAACAGGAGAAACTCTAATTTAGTTTTATTAATTCAAAAGAAAGGTGATTGAGGAATATAAAAGAAAGTGTATTTGTTAAGCTGTAACTAATTAATTTTTGTATATGTTTTATTGTGTTTAAGTTATTTTATATTTTCTAAAAATATGTATTTAATTCAGGCTATTTCTCTAGTTGAAAATTGGTATTTCAACATTTTTATTATCTGTAAAACTTCATTCTGAAGAGCCCACCATGGCCAGGTGGTTAGGGTGTTCGACTTACAATCTGAGGGTCGTGGGTTCGAATCCCTGTCCTACCAAACATGCTCGCTGTTTCAGCCGTGGGGGTGTTATAATGTGACAATAAATCCCACTGTTCGTTGGTAAATAAGTAGCCCAAGAGTTAGCGGGGGTGGTGATGACTAGCTGCCTTCCCTCTAGTCGTACACTGCTAAATTAGGAATGGTTAGTGCATATAGCCTTCGTGTAGCTTTGCACGGAATTCAAAAACAAACCAACAAAAACAATCATTCTGAAGAAGTGATCTTTAAAGTCACAAAACTGGTAAAAATAATTAAGAGAAAGACTGATGATTTGAAGGATTGTAATATTTTATCATGTACATAAACAATTTTTGTACAATTGGATTTTTGAGATAAGTAGTTTTGGTTTAGTTTTTTATATAAAGCTTCATATTTTGGGTTTGATTTAATGGTTTTGGTTTAGTTTTTTTTATAGAAAGCTTAATATTTTGGGTTTGATTTAATAGTTTGGTTTAGTTTTTTTTATATAAAGCTTGATATTTTGGGCTTGATTTAATAATTTTGGTTTAGTTTTTTTTACAGAGCTTGATTTAATAGTTTTGGTTTAGTTTTTTTTTTACAGAGCTTGATTTAATAGTTTTGGTTTAGTTTTTTTTTTACAGAGCTTGATTTAATAGTTTTGGTTTAGTTTTTTATAGAAAGCTTGTTATTTTCTAGCTCTGATTTGTTTTCATTTTTATTTTTCTCCATTATCCTGCTTTTTTTCCTTCCTTGGTCCCATTTTTTATCATCCAAACACTCCACTTGTCCTAGGCTCAGCACAAACTTGCAAAAGGCAATTTCTACTCTCTTATCCAATAGCAATGCATTTGGAAGTACTGGAGGAACCCGAAACCATGAAGTTAACGGTGTCAAGAAAGGCGAACAGATTCCAGAGGATCGTAATGAAGATGTTTCTTATACGGATCAGGGGAAAGTATGACCCAAAAGTAAAAACTTCATCCAAAGCTATAACTAAGTTTTCCCATTTCTAAAATAACAGTAGTATGTTTTTTTAACATCACAACAATTATATGTTATGTATTCTCTTGTTGCTGATTTAGGTTTTTGTTGAAAAAGAATTTGCTTAATAATCTTGGATATGCCTTACTTTTTGTAAATTGTGTAATATTTTTCAAGTTGAAAGTTAATTGAGATTATTGATTAATTTTTTTAGTATTTCTTGAATAGTTTAAAAGAACTGAACATGATAAATGTGTAAAGTCTGCTGTAGTGATTGAACAATTAAGAACTTATTCAACGAATTCCACTCTGTAGTACTTGATGCTTACCTGTGTAATTGATACCCCCCTCCACAAATTAATATCTTTTTCAACCTTGCACCCCCTTACTTCAGTATGATTATAATATAATTCTCCCCCCCCCCAAACTCTCCAAATTTAAGCCAATCAGTTTTGGGCTACTTCATTAATATAGATGCTATGAATAGTTTATTACATTTTTTTTTAATATAACATTTTTCATATTACACATGAGTAGCTTCTACTTGCTAATTTTTAATCCAATGACTTATCGTACACAGTTCCAAATCATCGCATTCATCAGATTTTTGACACCTGTGGCTCTACCTGTATTCACTTCCATATTGAAATAGGAACATTATAATGTACTCAAGATGTCCACCACATATCATCTCCAAGTGTAAAAAACTGAAAATGATTGATACTGATCTGCATCTTTTCTTTTTGACTTTGATTTCGAGAGGATGGTTAAGAATTATCATGATTGCTTGAAACTGATTGGCTGGTAATGAGAGGTATTTTAGGTGTAACGTACAAATTAAGCCAGTTCCTGCCCCCATCCTTAATGGTAAATCTGTGTGCTTATACCACTAAAATCAGAGCCCAGTACATTGTGTATATTTGTGCTTAATATCAAACTGTGACACAAATAATCAGGACATTTTCAAACTATTTTTGTACATCATTGTGAAATTTATGTATGTACTTATGCTGTCAATTTCTCTGTCTTTAGCATGACTGTCCGATAGTCTGGGAACAACCAAACTGGACTAATTTGGTTAGTATTTGTGGAGGTTGGTTTTTTGTTCTGTAGTTTAAAAATCTTCAATAAATTGGTTGTAACTTCATTTGCTAACATAATTACATAACTCTACATAGTCTAGAGGGCTCCTCTCCAGTAAGGATGTATATATTTTAATCACTACATGGCCAGGTGAATGTAGTACAGAGTTCAAGGTTACATTGTAGGTCAACTTTGTTATAATGTCAGCAAATTAGGATTTTGAAAAATGGTCAAACTCGAGAACAAAGTGAGATAGAAACAGGTCTTGATACTTTGACCTGTATTTTTGAGGTTGAGGAATTGTGTGATATATATATTTTATTTTAGTTGCTGTCAAAGAAAATTACAGAGTGGCAGATGCAGTCTGTGAGTGCCTTTCTAGTTATATTTGTGGTGAAATGAAACTTATTCTATTATTAGTATTGATTACATTGACATATAAATCACAAAATCAGATATGAATAGTTTAGATGAGATGTAATTATAGCTCAGCAGCGTGCAGATTTTATGGTGTTATTTAGTATTGCGTTGATTATTTATAGGATCTCAAGTTTAAAGATATGGCTAACACTGAGAGAAAAACCACTACATGTGATGTTCCTACCCTGTGCACCAAGACTAATCCATTTCTGTCATCACCAAGTAGCCAAACACCTAGCACTGTGATGTCTGGTACTGAAAAAGTCGACTTCTTTTCTCAATCTACCACGGATGGATCAGTTTCAGAATCTAGTCCTCCCAAGATAAGCAACAATTTTCTCGGCTTTAGTGCCAATCCCTTTGTTGACAGCCTAACGAGAGGCAGCGAACTTCAACAAAGTTTGCCATTTGGTGCCTTCAGGACTAATGGTGAAAAAAGCATTTTCAGTTCATTTAGGATAGAAATAAGTTGAAACTTATCAAATTATTTAGTAATTTATCATTAACTAAAACTCGTCCACTTCAGAAGTGCAAGTATACATAATTGACAGTCTCATATGTGCAATACTGAAGACAAGTTCAGTGGTTTTCACACGTGTGTAATACTGACGACACGTTCTGCGGTTTTCACACGTGTGCAACACTGACGACATGTTCAGCGGTTTCCGCACGTGTGTGCAACACTGACGACACGTTCAGCTGTTTTTCGCACGTGTGTGCAACACTGACGACACGTTCAGCGGTTTTCGCACGTGTGTGCAATACTGACGACACGTTCAGCGGTTTCCGCACGTGTGTGCAACACTGACGACACGTTCAGCGGTTTTCGCACGTGTGTGCAACACTGACGACACGTTCAGCGGTTTTCACACGTGTGTGCAACACTGACGACACGTTTAATAACTTGGAATGAACACAACTTTGTAAAACAAAAATGTTTACCTTCTTTTGAAACTGTACACAAATTAGAAGTACCACACTATGTAGAAACAAAGTAAAACGTTAAATAGTTTTGTTTACCTTTCTGTTGGATTCTGTCACTCACACCTTTAAACTGTTCAGTAAAAAATGTGTAAGTGATTATAAGATGAAAGATTTTTTAAATAACATGAATATAATTGATTATTAATAGATTAAAAGATTTTTTGGTAAAACAGTAAATGTGTATAAAGAGCTTAATGAGGAAACATAGAGATACTAAAGAAATATTTATTTGTAGATGTTTTTGAAAATGCCTCAACCTCTTTCACGTCAGTTGATCGTTTCGTGACTGATTCTTCATTTGCTTCAGCATTTGGAGAGAAGACAGCATCTTCTTTTGGTATGCTTTTAACAATTAGAACATTTATAATTTTCTTGTATAATATTGCTTTTCATGACTAGCATATTTCGGGACCTCTTGATTTATGATGTCTTTGAAGACTTGTTGGATGGAAATTTAATTCCAGTTACTTGAAATCATCATTTATTTTGCAATATGTAATGTAGGCTGTTTTTTATTGTAAAATGCCTGATGTTTAGGGCTTGTTAGTATATGGATCTTATAGATGTATTTGATTATAACTTTTCACGCTTATTGTACACTCTCTTGGTCTTTAAATTTTTTCACAAGCTTTCTCGGAATTGGAAACTACTGGTTTTACAGGTGTAAGAGAAGGTCTGTACGACTTCTGCATCATCTGTATAGGTTTTTAGCAAAGTGTATCTAGTGTCTGGTGTGTTTTCTCAGCTTAGAAAAAAACAATAAATAAAAATATGTATATGATAACTAAATTTTCTTAGTCTTTTTTTCCTTTTTCAGATTCATGCCTTACAAAGCTGTTAAATTCTGAATGGTTTTAATTTGTTATTAGTTTGACATTGTTTATTTAAGTTTCCTTACATTGGTTGAAAAACTACACATTTTATATGATTTGGCCTTTAGCTAAAAAAATGACTTGTACAATTAAACTAGTCAAAATGATTGGTTATTAAACGAAACATTTTACTAAGCATAAACTGAGTTTATTTTAAATAAATTTTATTTTTGTAATTTCAAACTAAATGGCTTAGAGGTGTAAACTTGTGTTTGAGCTGCCTACAACAAAGATTCTTTATGCTTTAGCTGTAGATGTTTTGGAATTGAGATATTATTACTCTCATTAGGAAGCTTGTGTAACGTGTTATCTACTTTGAGCATGGGTTAGCCCTATGTTGGAACTTTGAATTTTGGAACTGACGAGCTGGGTTCGAAGTGTGATACAATAAAATATTTCCAGCACTTTAAGCTGTAAGAACATTGTGAGAGTGATGTTGGGTGGTAGGGTGCTGATGCCTTCTTTCTGGTCAGTGATTTGAAATTAGCAATTTAAAGACAGGCAAGATAGCCTTAGTAGCTTTGCCGTAAATATTAAATACAAATTCTCGACTTGATTGAATATCTTCACGTACAGAAATAGCATGTTGGTTCTGATACAATCACCTCTGGTAATGTAATACTAAATTTTTCCATGTGAAGAACCCTGTATTATTATTACCTTTTTTTACAAATCAAATCATAAAGGACTTAAAACCTATAATGAAATATTTTTTTTTCTATTTGGAAGCTAACTTTGTGGCCTTAGGTATCATTAGGCTTTAAAACTTACTTATTATATAATAGAAATTCACTTTTCTATCCAGTAATAACATCACCTGAACAACGAAAAGGGAATGGTGAAATAAAGGTGCCTTCAATGGACTCTTATGGAAGATCAGATGCACATTCTTCTGCAACTGAGCAAATTAGAGAGTCAGGAACTGGACCAATTTTATCTCATCTGTCCGAGTCTGTATTTGGTAAACAAGTTGAACATTTGAAAGAATGTGAAGCTTCAGAAAACCTTGTTTGGGGAAGCAGCTCACAATGTAGTGATCCTTTATCTTCAGATGTAAATCCTTTTGGAACCACCTTTAATCCCCTTTTCTCAACATCTGTTTCAGTAACTATGTCATCCAAATGTGAAGATAAAATAGATGATTTTAGCTTGAATGATACTAAGTGTAGAATTGAAGAGTCAGTTGCACAACTTCCTTCAGTGGTGAAAACAAAATCAACAGTGCCTCTTGTTCCTCCATTGGAATGTTCAGATATCCTCTCCACTGACTCAGCTTCAGATCCTAAGAATTGGTCAACTCTCAATGCTCTTCAGACTTCTGACATGCATCAACACTTGCTCTGTTCTACTGTATTGAATGACCTAAATCCATCTATTGAACATAAGCACTTTGAAGATTCTTTCATGGATTTCGGACAAAAGTTCCAAACTGCTTTAACTATAAAATCTAATTCTATGACTCAAAGTCAACCAACCCAGACTGTTTCACCTATTGAACCAACTCCTGTGACCAAAACTTTAACTACCTCGACTATTTTGCCAATTGGACAAAGTTCTGTGATTGGATCTCCACCACCTCCAACTGGTTTGCCGATTGGACAACGTTCTGTGATTGGAACTCCACCACCTCCAACTGGTTTGCCGATTGGACAACGTTCTGTGATTGGAACTCCACCACCTCCAACTGGTTTGCCGATTGGACAACGTTCTGTGATTGGAACTCCACCACCTCC